TTCTTTCGTAACCTTTGAACTAGAAGTTCCGTTAAAGTGAAAGTTCATACACAAAAATGCAGATAACTAGCCTGCTAGAAATCAGCTCTTTCGAACAATTCCTTGGAGTAATATATGCTCTTATTGGCGGAAATACTATTAAAAGTTTTTACCGTAAATCTTTGTCGAAAAGAAATTGATGACGCGTTTTTCGTAGTAAATCTAATCTATGTTCAAGCTAGTCACCCGATGCTACCTAACGGCAAGCGAATTCTCTAAAGAAACAATTATAAACATTCGATTTACTTTGGGACCCCTAAACGATTAGGAACATTTTGGCGGGAATCCATAATTATTTAAGACCGCTTTGAATATAAAAAATAGCTACCAAGTTTGGAACACAAAAATGACGTACTCGAGAGAATACATACATTGTTTAGATGACGTTAGATGTGAATTCTGTTGGTCGGTACTTCGATTAAGAAAGACGTTCACGATGCTGGACTGCAAATTGAAAGCGACAAAAGAGTTTATTTACGCAAACTCATAGTTTCTTTGAGCGGATGAGGTTTAGTAGAATACGGAAATGTTGAATTTGTTTGAGCAGTTCTTGACGTTCACTCTTGAATTCTCTTTCTCTTCGTTGATCATAGTCTTGAAGTGTATTTCCAATACGGAAGTTATGTGTTATCAACTCTTATATTCTCTTTTGTGGATAGCAACTTTTTAGGCTTTTCAAACCTTAGTAAGTAAAACAAGGTTAATTCATCACTTCAACATAGACAAGTAGATAAAACTCTATTTCATGTGCAAAGCCATATCTGCCCTTATTCTAGCCGCTCTTACGGCAAATTTCAACTAAGTGCTTAGACGATTTCCCTTTAGTCTGCTCTCGTACTTTCTACATCTCTTACAAGACATCGTAGCTATCTATGTAGGGCTAATTTCCGTGTGGCACATAACTTCGTTGCCCTTTAAAATTTTGCAAAGTGAATTAGATTTGAAAACCAAAGAGCCGCACAGAAGTTGTTTTCATCGTTCGATTGTATTCCTCTACATCGTGTTACCGTCCTAGTGTCTGTGATGGTCTCTAATTCGTAATAAAATTTGGACTCGAAAATCAAAATTTTCCAGCTACCCTAAAAATCGGATTCTCTTCCAAAAAATTACGGATTTTTAACTCGATCTTTATATAGAAGACACATAGACTACCCAAAAAATGTATTTGATGAATTTTTCATGGGCTCAAAATTGGGAAACAAAGACGGTCCAAAAATGCCAAAATGCCACTTTTTCGGTTTTTTATGCAAAACTTGGTATTTCTCGATTATAAGAGCACATGCAGGAATGAATTTTCAAATTTATATGTAATGAGGTTTTTAGTATATGTACAATGAAGGGGCTCGGGGGCGGAGTGCCATTTTTAGAACTTTTTTTCTGCTTTGTGACCGCAAAAAAATCCAATAAAGGCATATTGAGTACTACCATGTGTCTGCTGTATAATGATCAAGTTTGAGGTCCGTGGAATTTTCCTCGCAACAATCCGTGATAAATTTTTCTTCGATTTTCGCTCCAAACTTTACCTGGATTACGACTTAGGCAAATCTTTAGTAATCATTAGAGCGTGCTTCGCTCTATCGAATAGAGTACATAAGTCTGCTAGAAAGTCAAAAGTTTGATTTAATTAGAAATACCGTTTGCTCTCGGGCACCCTATTATATGGAGTTCATGGGTAAATAGACTACTAAAATTTGATTGAAAAAATAATATTCTGTCTTCGATCGATGTGTAAAATCAATATCTCTAGCCCTTTCACCGCCAAGCAGTCCACAATACGAAACAAGCGCTCTTTTCGACAGAAGGCAGCTTTTACAAAGAGCAAAATATAATAGAATGGCAAATTGGTGTGGTTAAGGCATTGAACTGACATTTTTGTGAATAGCTAAAGTTTCGAGCGTTGTTGTTCAGAAGTGATTTTAACGTCAACCAAATTATGTTGTTACACTAAAGTTCACTGAGAATTGCTTCCCGGCCTAGATTCTTTGACAACGAAGCGTCTTTGCTGCACTTTATCTCCTCTTCAAATGCGGAACATCTCGCAAAGTTTTCGATTCTAATCAACCTTATAGTCCTATTTTTTCTTGCTTAGTTATTTATTAGTCGCCATTACCTTATCTACTGTAAAATTCCGAGTAATATCAAATTTACCTTCATAGAAAGCTCGCCGAGAAAGTTATATATGGTTTGTCCGCAATCATAAGATGGAATTGGGCGGTGGGTGAGTTGAACTGTTGTGAATATTCTCCGAAAATTTACAGCAAATTCTGCAAAACAAGCAAAATTTGCAGCATTTCCGCAGGATCTTGTTTATCACAACAAAAGTGAAACGCTGGAAATGGAAACTCTCGCAGAATTTTCACGTCAGATTGGTTAAAAAGGGAACTTCCGTAGGGCTTTTTTTACATAGCACTGCGGAACTTTCAAGGAAACCAGCGGTTCCGCAGCTGTTGTTAGTATTTCCGCAGGTCCATGAATGAACTTCCGCAGCGCGTTTACGGAACTTCCGCAAGTGCCGGGCGGAACTTTAATAAACGTTCTGCGAAGTTCCAGTCAGTTGTCTAAGTTGATGAAATGTAGAAGATGAAAAAGACGTGGTATCGGAGATAGTAGCTTTAAAATTAATTTTCTTATCGACCAAATTTAGTGGATTCATTTTGACGTTGTAAACTATCCAAATAACTGAAGTCAATCAGAAGACATCTCTTATTTTGTTCTATGTGAGCCGCTCGATAGGAGAATCAGAATAGTAGGGTAAACGACAGTATGAAACTTTGATCAAGTGCTCAAATAAAAATTTGGAAGAAAGTTGATGATTTTGCATGTGAAATCTCATTGCAACAGATAAGAGCGACCAATACCAAAGGAGCTAGTTTGCATTTGCGGGGGTTTCCCAAAGATTTGCATCAAAACTATTTTAGTCATTGTGGGTCCATTTTGGAATAAACTCAACAAATACGTCATCACCCCCTCTATGACATTTTTGTCCTTTCCTATGCTCATCTCGATAAAAAGAGGGGCCCACTTCTTACCCAAGACTTTATGAACAAAAAGAGTCAGACAGCGATGATAGGAAATGAGAGTTATATTCTTTCAAATGGCTCGAATTTCGAAGCACACTAAGTATCCAAGTCATTATCATAATCGATATTTTGTTTCGGCAGGTCATATATATAAAGTCTTATACATGTGGAACTTATTTGTCTCGGGTACTTTTTTTTATAAGTATAAAAATGAACTATACCTATTCCACTCGTTTTGCAATTATTACTATCAAAATTCTGAAGGACTATTGTTGACCCTTACCTGTATAAGATAACTTCTCTCATCCAAACTTACATCTTAATGCTTCGCTGTTCTTGCAGAATTTCAATTTCAAAACTGCTTATAAAGAAATCCATGCAGCGGACTCTTTCATTAAAGTGAGATCCAGAGTTTAGAAAACGGTATCTTTGTGAACTCTGTAATGCAAGAATAATATAGTTTGCGCAGTTAAGACGTCTCTTCTTTTCGAAATCAAAGAGCTGTTCTAGTTTTTGCAGTTTTATTGAAAGTTTGCTTTGAAGTAGGGACACCAAGCTCTTAAAGCGAGCTTTACTACGAGATCTGGTACCTTCAATCTCTTACACGATTTCTGTATAGAAGTGATGGAAATTAGCTTGCGGAAAATAAGTTGTCCAATTTTGGAAGCAGATAGGAGTATCAGGCTCTTCACCTAATCAATGACTTGACTAACCTCTTGACTATCCTTAATTTAGATTTGCGCCAAATGCCTCCTATTCATTTTTTCTTTACCTTCAGTTTCAAAAATTTGCGGCTCGATACATTTTGGGGAGAGGAAGTCATGCAATGAGTTGTCAACACTATAATAAAATTAAAAAATTTAATAAAAACACTGTAGTCCCTCATTTTTTGGTTTGGTAAAAGAAACACCCTAAATCACATAGGACTTGAAAACAAGTAGCATACCAACGGCGGTCCCCGAATTTCGTCCGAGGGAGAGGGGGGAGGGCAAAACATTTTCTCATTTGAAAAAATTTTTGCTTCTCAAAGTTTTTGAGGGCCCATAACCGCTAAGAACTAAAAAAAGGGGTGTAACGGAAGCTACACCCCAGAAATATTTTTTTTACAGGGCTGACTTGAATTTTTGAAAAGTTTCTAAAAATTGTTTTAGTTATTTACAAGAATGAATAAGTCACTTGCACCATTTTATAACCAATTTTTGGCTGCAGTTCTGAAAAGTCAGACTTTCCTTGAAAAACACTGAATTTGCACGAATATTTGGTTAAGGTCAAAAAATGGTCGTAAAACCCTTTCGTCACTGACGATGCCAAATTTTATAGGAAGCTTTTGGGATTTTTTTATATCTCAGTGAAATTTGCTTGCTGAAACGTTTTTATCAGCTTGGATTTGCAGTTGGCACCAGCAATTGCTTTCGCCCATATATAGAAATCTTTTTCTGAACCGTCGAAAATGAATGCTATATACTATACTATAGTACACTATACCATAGGAATATTTTTTACTCCATCATCTGATTATCCAATATGTTTACATTGCTGAGGGAAGTTAAGAGTTTTCAAATATGCAGGAACACTTCGTGCAGGCAATTATCTGATCGATGGAATGGCGCTGTTAATTGATTTATCGTATTGATTCGATTAAAAACTTTAGATGTTTAATCCTACCAATCGATATAAATAAATTCGCCTGAATATTTTTTTTGAAAATAAACAATCTTATTATCTTCCACTGCAGTCTAATAGTTCTCCTTCTCTAATATTACATTATATCTGAACATCATTGTGCTCTTTTTGCGAATTCAAAAGCTCACACTTGGAAGGACCAACAAAAAACATAAACAAGCCAACTCTAGAGAATTCCACGCTTTACATCCTCACGTACTTCCTTATTTCCGTTATTTTGGCTATCGTCAAGCCATGACAAATTTCGTCGAATAATTCAGGTACCCCATGTATGTTGTTGCGTTGTCGTTACTCATAGCGGCTGTGACTGTCTGCTCCACAGTAAGTTCTGAACAAATTTTTTCCGGGAAAAAATCTTCGTAAACTATTATAATCTCTGCATGGTGCAATTTGGTAAAATTGCCTCTTTCAATTCATTGTGTAAGTTTCTGAAAGCAAGGAATTTTGGACCTGAGGCTGGCGCAAACATAAAAAGCGAATATGAACGATTTTAAAAGAGATTGAATTTGAGCGTTACATCATACTAGCCCAAAAAAAAGTTTGAATGTCACGGTGATATTACTCTAGCTTTCTCGCATCAAATTGGATGCTGTTGTTTAGATTAGTACTTGTGATGTTGCGGATCGGTGGGCTCTGCGCCCCCCTCACCTCGTGCTCGACTGCCATACGCCTCAGCTCCTTCCCCGAGACTCCCGCCACTGCGGGTGCGCGCTAACGCGCAGTGGCGCGTCACGCCTACACTAGTCACAAGACGATAAAATTACACAAATTTACTAAACAAATATAAACAAATATACATAAAAATACATAAATACAAATATACTTACCACGGGGAGAGTTAAGCTCTACCCCGGGCTACCGATGAGGACTCTTGCTCACTCACTCTCACACACTAGCACACTCACACACACTCCCGACATCCAAGGGAGCTACCCACAGGCCGGCCGCGCGCCGCCAAGGCAGCAGCTACGGCACGGCAACACCGACCCCGTGATGTAAACCAACAACATCAAGCTGAGCTCCCAACAAATCCTGCGCGACCGTAGCGCTTCGAGATATTCGTCATCCTGGAATTCCATCCTCGCGCGTACATCCGAACAATACATCAACGATCCATCCAAGCGCGCAAGGCACGGGGATGCAGACACGACGGCGATATCGTAAAGACCCAACCAATCAATAATAACGGCGGCACGACGGTAATAGTAAGATGATAAGACGAGAGAAGAGCCGCACTGGCGCGCGTACGCGCTATTTATAGCGGTGGCTGGGGGCGTGCCTACATGGTGTGGTCTCGGAGCGAACAAGGTAGCCGCCGTAAAGCGCGGCGACCGTGCCCACGACCGAGACGCGCGGCAGCACGGTGCTCCCGGCCACATGCTGTGAGGAGCGGTCGATCGCGAGCCGCGACACTCCCCCCCACAACGAAAGGCTTGGGCGTTGCGAATGGGTGGTTACGTGATAGCACCGTGACCTGGGGCAACTGCCTTAACCTAAAAATTTGGGTGATGATAGAAAAAAGAAACATACGACATCGGTAGCGAGGGAACAGGCAACAACCCGCCCCGTGGTAAAACACAAAAAAAATAAACACAAACTACAGGCGCTTTGACGCGCAGGTCACTACTAGAATAAACCGGAGCGCTCAGGGCGCTTACCAAATAAATACGGATAGCGATTAAAAATACTTCTATAGCTACTAGACTATGTACACTGTTTCAGGATAGACGCTCCAGCCCATAGCGTCGCCGCCAATCCATCTCGCCATCCATCTCGACCAGCGCTGATCTCACTGCGCATCCAACCCGCATTACGTCCCTCGTCCATCAACATCCAACCACTCTAAATACACTCATAGGCTCAACGTCGAGGGAGCGTAATGCCCGAAACGAAACCTACCACCTGCGAGCCTACATGACGCGCGTCCTGGAACGCACACCCTGAAACAAAGGGAAACCTCCACCCTCTCTTAATTTTGGATTAATTTACGGTAAAAAGAGCACAAAATAGAAGGATGAACTGAGAGGGTGTTGGCTTCCCGACAAAAAAGATACTACGTCTTTCCCGAAACATCCCCGAATTCGTGCGTCTAGCGCCCGTCCGGACCGAATTGGACGAAGGTCCAGCCTCCCGCCGAGGACGAAATGCCTCGACGAGGGGGTCGATCCCACAACTCAAGGAACCGGAGGTGCAGCACTGTGGGTCTGTTCAAGGAAAGACGGCCCAACCCATAGAGCGGATGTTACAGGAGCCTGATGGACTGCTCACAATGGCTCTATGGTCGGGACTTAGGCAATGAGACGGCGCGTCCGACGACGGCTGCAACTTCCTAAAGTAGACTATACCGCTGGCTGCTCGACCGAGTAGCAACAATAAACAAGTTGGAGTAATTAGCGGAAAATTTAGATGATGTTACGCGCTACTACAATAGGAAGTATAACTGGTAGGGAGCCGACGAACTAAGATGTTACCGGGACTTTACATGGCGCAATAGATGTTAACGCGCTCCACAAGTGCGCCGGATGGTGTTAGTGCTGGGTTAACTAGCGCGATAGATGTTACGCGGTAAGTAGGCAAAATGTAAAAAATAAATTTTAGAGGCGCGCAGTCACAAGGATGTTAAAGCGTAAAAAAAAATTGACTGACGCGCAAATGCAGAACGTTAGTGAATTTAGAAATGTAAACTGTAAAAAGGGAAAATTCAAAACAAAATTGAAATTAGTGTTGCCTACTAGTACCGTTCGAGTCCGCAGTATCACCCGATTGCGCGTCCGCCTGCGTGTCTTGTGGATTTGCCATGAGTATTCGTCCACGAACCTCCATCAACTCCCGCCAGATAACGTCTTCAGGCACGTCGTCACTGTCTTCTACTCCCGATTCATCGATGGTCTCGTCATCCTCGAAATCTGTAAGAATGGATGGTATGGCTTTAGGCCAACGAAGAATTCGATCGCCCTCCGACGCCCTTCTGAATTCCTCACGAAATCGTTCGGACATAACCGGGTCGTCGAAGGGGTCTCTCCCTGCAAAGAAACGAAGCGCTGCGTTGAAATTGAAAACTGGCAAATCATCGTCCTGGGATGTTCCTGGTTGTTGATTGGCGCGTCCCTGAAGCGCGCTGGAACTTTCCTCTGGGTGTTCTGACGATGAGCCGGATGGTGCAGACATGATTGATACTCAGTACGACAACTGAAATGATGTTACTCTCTCGGTCCACTTATTCGGCGCGTGACAATATGTGTAGTCGCGCATTGATGTTCGAGAATAAGGGATCCACTATATACGTGCTGAGTATAGTCATGACCGATGATGGAACTCAAACCGGACTGCCAACAAGACGCTATAGCAGGTACGGGAGTAGGTGCTACCCGCATGACCATCCAATATTCGTCAAAATCAGGTTACGCTGCATACCGAGTGTGTGAAAATAAAGAATGAAACAATGACACAACAAAACAGTAATGCAGACAAGGAGTAAGTCGGAGTACAGGTCAATCCGGAAAAGAGGGACAAATCCGAGAAAGCAACGGCGAAAGCCGCGCGTATGACTACAACCGGTATTAATGGCTACGGGTCCCTAACGTAAGCGTCCACGAAGAAGATAGTAGAAACGTGTCTACGGGTCGCGCGTCAGGTAAGTCTAAATTCAGAAAGAAAATGCACTTAAGGGGCATACTCACGACGCACCACAGTTGGTCGCAGTTACACTAGCTGGTCAGGCGAGTTGAACATACGAACAAGAAGGTAACAACTATGAATGCTAGCCCTAAGTGCAACGATTGAGCCAAGCTACTACGGGCAAGAAGTATCTGTGAAGCATGGTTGGCGCGCTAAGCGCAATATCTCGTCGAACGACGATACAACTCAAAAATACGACGATGCCAACATAGATGGTAAAGGAGTACTTCACTAGCCAAAGATTTAACAAGTAAACTTGGCATAAGATCAAGTGTAGATGGAGCACACAACGGGAACAGAAGCGCGATACTCTAGAGGTACTCACGCGCGAAAGGAAGCCTGTAGATGGAATAGGCAATAAGAAAAAGAATCTACACTGCGCCGACAGAGGGTAACACACTACCAAAGGCGCGCCTACAGGATGTAATACACAAATACCAGGATTGACGCGCAGTACAAGGAATATCCAAAAATGCGCAGGTCGTACTGGCGCACGGACGGTATACTGAACGCGCGTAAAAAACCGATTTCAAGTCAAAGCCGAGTGAGAGATAGTCTTGCAGGTAGCTGAAAATCAAGAAGAAATTGCAACTACGCAGAGCCCTTACAGGAACAGCTGCAGAAATACAGAATAGCGCAAAGGAAAGCGCGCGTGCAGGAGGTTACTGCAATGAGCAAGAAGATGGTGATAAGCTCACGGCTCGCGAAGCTGCAAGAGAAACAAAAATACTGATTTGGCTGAAATGCAGGCTGCAATGCAGTGGACGATAGCAACTGTGAGGATGGGACAGGTTCGCTATATACCAAAGATAGAATACTTAGCGAGAAATACAGAATCTACTGCCCTAACCGACGCTCTAAGGCCAACGAAGACGAGGTTTGCGCGAAATGAGCAGTTGGGTCGCGCGTTCACCAAATTTACAAAAACGCAGAAAAAGGCTATGGTTGCTTACTGCTCGCGAGACAATAAACAAAACATAGGGAACAAGGGAAAAAGCGCAAAAGATCTGATGGTCGATCAATATGCACAAAAAGGTGGGGTACACGCCGCCTAAAGTGCGCGCTCGACAACAATCGTTTCAGGACCCAACTGAAGAAAAGGTGGGGAAATAAGGGACAAAAATTACAAAAAGAAAGGCATTCCGCCGCAAAAACACAACATCTGGCCTGATAATGAAAACAGAGCGTAAAGCTCGACAACGGCCTGGCACCAGACAAATCAGAATAAAAAGGAGGGAAACAGAGGCTCGCTACCTGGATGGAAAACGGTAAAAAATTCTGCCTGTTTCCGATGGCTCTCTCTGCCGTACTATCCGTCGTGCGACCAACGACATCGAAGATGGACTATGCCTGAACGAAGCGCGGCGCGCTAGGGGGCAACACTCACACTCATCGGTAGCCTGAAAAAATACGTACAACTATAAACAGCAAAACACAAAACAGACTCCCTACCACCCATACCGACGGACCACCCTGCCAAACCCTCTCAACTTGCCCAACCTACTCTACCACAAAGAAAAACAAAAAAAAGAGTGTAGTACGTGACCGCGGGGTAACCAAAGGACGTAAAGCAAACAGAGGATGGTAACGACAGACTGTCACTGAAGAGCCAGCACGTCCCCGAAACTAGGGGGTAGCGTGCGCATGGCAAGGTACAGCTTGAATAACATGCCGGAGGCCGGTCCGAAACTACCCAAGGCTCCTTATCGGCGATCGGAGCGATGGTACACGGGCACCTGAATCACTCCCAAAAACGAGCCGTTCCTACCAACGGGCTGTCGCCTTCTTCCATCTTCCGGATGTTACATTCCTCCGCTGTCCACAACAGTCCGTCTCCTTCCACGGCCGCTAACCAACAGTGCCTGGGGGTAGGAAAAACTACTAAAGGGCACAGGTTCGATGGCCAGGTGTACTCCTGTGCCCCCGGCCACCGAAAACTTCCCCCCGAAGGGGTGCCCATGCAGCACTACAACGGCGCGTAGAGGCGACTAACTACCCGTAACAATGAGATCACTAAACCTAAATATATCACAGAACTAAATATCACAAGAGTAAAAAATCACACGAATAGCGACTAGCAAAGCTAACAAAGTGACTAGAGATAGTTAACTAAACTGTACGAGACAGCTACTACAAACTCAAAACTACCGGGCCGACTACAACTGGAAGGATAGCGAAGAAATAGAAGAAAATGTAAAAGGAAATATCTAGGGTTTGGGACCAGGACCCCCTAGCACTCCCGTCCTCCGAAGCTGCCTCCCTGCAACTCCGCCGTCCTCCGAAGATGCCTCCATGCAACTCCGCCGTCCCCTGGAGATGTCTCCTTACATCTCCGGAAGTGATCCAGGCTCCTAAAAGGACGGTGTTTCCTTACCACCTGCGCTTGTCGTCGCGTCCACCGATACAACTCCAAATTCGCGCGTCCAACGATACCATTCCAACGCAGGTCCAATCCTCCTTCAAACCTTCCTTCGTCTGTCCCCTCTCAACGTGTACAACGATACAGTACAAATCGCGTTCGACGATAAAACTCCGAAATACGCGTACGACGATACAATACAATGATCACGTTCTCTTTCGTCTATCGAGCCACCCTATAAGCCCTCCTGCAACAATCCCCTCTCAGCACGTACACCGATACAACACGTGACGCGTTCAACGATAGAATACTAAAATACACGTTACAACGATACAACACTGAAATCGTGCTCCCTGTCTGTCGCTCTGTCGGTCCTCATCCGATCCATCCTGTAGACCCTCTCTCTGGCACGTCACCGATACAACTCCTCGCGCCCTCCGATACGGCTCTGACACGCGCGTACAACGATACAACTCCATCGTGCCACTCGAACACCTTCCTTCTGCGCGTCGCGCTCGACGATACAACTCTGAAATGCACGTACGACGATACAACTCTGCGCGCTCCCGTCCAGACCTCCATTCCTCGATCCTCCTTCTGCGCATCATGCTCGACGATACAGCTCTGAAATGCACGTACAACGATACAGCTCTTGTGCGCTGCCGTCCAGGTCTCCAACTCAGTCCTCCTTCGATCCGACCGTCACCCTTCTGTCCGCTCGATCCCTTCCACCAACAACTCCACCAAGACGCCTATGACTCGACATTTGCGGCCGCTGGCACTATACCCAAAGTGCCCCCTGGTCGAGCCCGCCGAAAATGTTGACACCTGCCCTTACTTGGGGCCCTTTCCTAGCACGGCATGCATACCAGCATCGCATGGCGTAGGTGCTTGGCCAATAAGGGGTACGGTTGGCAAGTTGCCACAGTCTTACCGACTTTCCCCCCGCACTCTGACGCCATACTTCGCAACCTGGCTATCCCCACTGTAGTCTTGCCACCGGCTACGTAGGTATTCAGCTCTGCCTCTCTGTTTGCCAGGACTTCCTACTGGGGCGCTGAGCGTGGTAGCTTCGGGCTCGTTACGCACGCACGGTGGATGGGATAGCGCGTTCCTCGAGCAACGCGACATACCGATGATACACATCACCACTCCGACCTGCGCGACTAACCCATCCACGGGCGGCGGCACCATCCACCATGCGCTCGGCGTCGATGCACCATGTTGCGGATCGGTGGGCTCTGCGCCCCCCTCACCTCGTGCTCGACTGCCATACGCCTCAGCTCCTTCCCCGAAGGACTCCCGCCACTGCGGGTGCGCGCTAACGCGCAGTGGCGCGTCACGCCTACACTAGTCACAAGACGATAAAATTACACAAATTTACTAAACAAATATAAACAAATATACATAAAAATACATAAATACAAATATACTTACCACGGGGAGAGTTAAGCTCTACCCCGGGCTACCGATGAGGACTCTTGCTCACTCACTCTCACACACTAGCACACTCACACACACTCCCGACATCCAAGGGAGCTACCCACAGGCCGGCCGCGCGCCGCCAAGGCAGCAGCTACGGCACGGCAACACCGACCCCGTGATGTAAACCAACAACATCAAGCTGAGCTCCCAACAAATCCTGCGCGACCGTAGCGCTTCGAGATATTCGTCATCCTGGAATTCCATCCTCGCGCGTACATCCGAACAATACATCAACGATCCATCCAAGCGCGCAAGGCACGGGGATGCAGACACGACGGCGATATCGTAAAGACCCAACCAATCAATAATAACGGCGGCACGACGGTAATAGTAAGATGATAAGACGAGAGAAGAGCCGCACTGGCGCGCGTACGCGCTATTTATAGCGGTGGCTGGGGGCGTGCCTACATGGTGTGGTCTCGGAGCGAACAAGGTAGCCGCCGTAAAGCGCGGCGACCGTGCCCACGACCGAGACGCGCGGCAGCACGGTGCTCCCGGCCACATGCTGTGAGGAGCGGTCGAGCCGCGACATGTGATGAAATTAGGCTTTTCAGTCATCAACGCATTTTTGCTAAGTTTCTTTTACGCTAGTACGTTGGAAAAAGATAACACTCAAGTGTAAATGCCCATTTTAAAAATTTCTCAGTTTAAAAAGTAAATTTACGGCAGCCGCGTAGGACCTATACTATAGAGGGTCCCAGAGGTGGTATCTGTCAACATACACACTCTTTGGCCATTAATATCTCTCTTCCTAGGTCTTTGTCACGATCCATGTTTTCATTATGTAGCCAGGTTTAAACTCAGATTCAATGTATGGTGAAAATCAGCGACCCCCCACCCCCGCCCATTGCTGTATCATCACGGTAGGATCAGCGTAGCCACATTAAACTAGGCACTCTCAAAAAATTTCACAAAAATTCTGAAGCAAGTTTGGTTATCGCGCATGCTACTAAATTAACTTTTTACAGGTTTCCCTAGCTTTCCGTATGATGTAGTACAATTTTAAATAGCCGTGAAAAAACAGCTATCACGTTTTAAGTGGCATAACTTCTAGAAGAAGCATTGCTGTAAAACGCAAGCCTTATATTTAAGGTCAGCAACTATGATTGGCCCAGTGTCAGAAAATTTAGTTTGTGTAATTATCTCTGTGAGGCAAAATTTGGCCTCCTATGACTCAAAACCTTTCCTCAAGCGCGCACCGTAATCCTGCAGTAGTGAAGAAGGATCGGTGAATCGCATCGTAGATCTAATTTTATATCACTACATAAAATGCTACCTAAGAGTTGGCAAAAGACTTCGTAGGGGGAGAGTGACCAACATAAATGATGTTTACATATTTTTGGGGCACTGTGTAATTAGTCATAATGCGAATTTCATTGAGAGAACCGTTATGGAAATTATCCATCGAAACATTTTCGTCAGACTCTAGTTAAGGATGAATACAAACTCCAGCTTTGTGCAGATAACTTGGAGCGATCAAAGTGTTGTAGCAACAAACTAACTGTTTTTTTTTTAGTTTGAGGACTCAGATTCCGAATACGATAAACGAGCACTTTCCTCATTCGATACGCTGGCTGGTATTGGTCTTGGTAAAAGGTCACAAGTGAGCGCTTTCGACTCTCTCGGAGGACTAGGTCGGTGATTCCATGATTGTATCAATAAATATCTTTTTGTAAATTCAAATTTCCTCTTTTGCAGGACTTGGTAAGAGGGCTCTCAGTGCGTTCGATACCCTAGGAGGCATTGGATTGGGAAAGCGATCTTATGTACTAGATAAAAGACTCAGCAGTTTTGACACTCTTGGAGGTAGACCTTTTATCAATAAAGCACGTTCGATTTGGCCCATAGTTCACATTAACCAGACAATTGTTTACTCAGCTATTTAGTATTGAGGGATTTTCTAGCAAGGACTCTTAGTGCTACACCAAACAGTTGAACTAAATCGTCAAGAAATTTTCTCCTATGCTTTAGCAAACTGCTTGCTTTGTGGACTTAACAGCTTATCACTACATAAAACAAAGCATCAGCTCATTACAGTTTTTTTGGCGCTTGCTTGAAAAAAAAAAGACCGCTTAAAGGCAGCGGCTTGGCAGAATGACAAATTTGAGATATTCATCGTTCTCGGTTCCCCTGGACGAGCTAAGACCCAGACTGTGCTTTGCAGCTCCAAAAGATATCAATAACCCTCTTTTCCAGACGCGAAAAGTGCTATTTGGGCGGACGGCGTATGCCTGCTCTCCAGAGCGCGATTGGCTCGTGAGTAGAGACACCGTATCTATCGTACCCACGAGCCACGCTTTAAAGGGCCTGCGTACGCGGTCCGCCCAAATAGCACTTTACATCTGAAAAAGCGCGTTATTGATATCTTTTGAAGCTACAAAGCGCAGTTTTGGGCTTAGCTCGTCCAAGGGAATCGAGAACGATGAATATCCCAAAGTTGTCATTCTGCCGAGCTGCTGCTTTGAGTAGGAAACGAGAAACGAAAAAAAAAGGGAAAGGCCTTATTCTCTGCATCTAAACTCGAAAAAAGTCTTAAGTTCTAATGAAATGAAGCGGAGGTCTTTATGCTATAATTTGAGTTTCTTTTTTAGGAATTGGTCTTGGCAAGAGGAGCGACTTGCTGAGGAGTGACAAAAAGTCATTGAGCAGCTTTGACACTCTTGCTGGCATTGGTCTTGGTAAACGAAGCAAACTATTCATCCGAGTAAGTTCTTTTTTTGATAGCGCGTGAATTTTCGGTTGGATCTGTCTGCCAGCTTCCCCCATAACTTAGATTCGCCACAAGGATAAATATACATTGTATAGTCAAAGTATTGCCTTCAAGACAGCGGCCAATGACCACTTTCACAGCAATTAAGTGGTCAGTACTTTTCAAGGATAGCACAAAGCCAACCCTTAGTTGCATACCATGAAGTGAATAATCTCACAAAATCTATTTCTTGCATTTCGAGAGAGATATTCCATTATCAACAAGATACTTTTTGTCTATACCGTATTTAGTTACAGCAATTCTACGTCCCATATCGAGCCTACATGGAAGGCAAACATCGAAGAGAACGAAATTGATCATATCGAGAACAATCTCATGACAAGCAGCCGTTATCCCAATAAGATCTCCTGTGAGACGATGATGTGAACTTATAGCCATTGTCTGTTGTAGTAATCTATGCCCATCATGTTTAAATGAATGTTGCCTGAGTGATTTGTTTCTAGTCATCATTCAGAAATTGGCATTGTGGCAGTTCATAACTTATTTGATGAGTGCTTTAGGTATAAACATGTAAGTTAGATTATCAATACATTTGTAGCATTTGCAAACAACGAAGACTCAAAATTTCGATAATTAAAACGATTTATCTATCTCATCTCTCCTTTCATACCCTTTTGCGGCATTCAGCATTTTACAGCACCAATCAGTAATTCTTCTGTCGCAAAAGCAACGAAATTCCATAAGACCTAGTAACTCAGCAGTTGCACAAAAACTTTACTTTTACTCTTCGGGAAATTTTTCATCTGAGTATTTAGAAACACTCCACAAAGAGCGGTTTCCTAACATCACTGCAGCCGTACTTGGCTTGCTTTTCAAAGCTGCCTTGTTCTCGAGATTGTGTTGAACTCAGTCGGTAAACAACAGCAAATGCAAAACTCGCTTTGAATTTGCAACTTCTAATTACAAACCCCAAGTTCTCTCAAACAAATTGACTTTTATTCGTTTCCGTGCACCATTATTATCGTTCTTATTGCTTAATTTAAAGAACCAGTGCAACGTAAACACTGCTTTTCACGCAAGCACACAGAACATTATGACGACTATCATCCCAAAAAAGCTGACAGTGAAGAAAATTCAGTGCCATAGCTCCATTAACATGATATTTCAATAACTAGCTGTGGAGACTATCGAATCACTATTACCTTGGTTAAAAAGCTCGACTAAATGTGTACATGATACCTATTATCTCCGTATGATCATCTTGAATAATCTCAGGTCAGATGATCCAACTCTTTGCTTTCACCTGTTTAAAAAGTTTCAAGTGCTTTACGCAAGTTGTGAGATATTGCTAATTGCATATTCATATTACTCCTGGAGCCAGTCATACAAGGGAATTGTGGATTGATAGTAGTTATCAGCGAATGAAGAAAGATTTAGAAGTATTTTGGCCATATTAGCTGTAGCTGTTCTGATAATCTTCGATTCGGGACACCTTTAAAACTTCTCAGCCAGCTGTGGATCTCCAGAGGCCATTTAAGGAAGATCATATACGGCTAAGAAGTAAAGTGCTACAACGGATCCAACGTGTTTGATAGCAGGAAAGTTGTAGTACCTACAAACTTTTAAGTTGACTGTTGCTGATAGAAGGCATAGTATAGTCAATTCTCCACATTAGAAAATTAACCTTAGTTAAAACATCAACCATGATTTTGTGTAGAGAAATGTCTGGAAAAGCAGCGGACATAATGTGTAAAGATCAAATTGAGTTATGCAAAGAGTGCAATCCCATACGAGAGATTTTAGTATCAGTTTTAAATCACATTAGTATGTACTGTACTCAATGTCAATGCTTTCTTCTAGCCATTTTAATGTACGATCAAAGAAAAAGGCATGAGTGTGCTAATCAAAATGTAGTTAAGCTTAAACTCGAACTCGATACACCCAAATAGCAGCCGAAACCAGGACATGGCCGAATCGGTCGAGCTACTGTATCATACATACTCTACGTCATTTACTTAGAGTTTAGCCTTTATAAATAAGATAAAATTAGCTCAGCAATACACAGTTCATCTTTGCTTAGTGATAGCGTTCGTCTCCGGTTTCGATATCCCTTTCGTGGAACGATGGAAAGGGAATTCGGGTCAGGCTCACACTTTCATCCACCATGCGAGTCATCTTCTCATATCTCGTCTATATATCACTTATAGGTCAGTTAGCATAATTTGCGCAGTATTGCATTTTCATTAGATTAGCTTAATTGTTCAGTCTTCCAGACTAAAATATTCTTGTAAAAGTCTGAGACATCGCAGCTCATCAATTCTGGTACCAAACCCATTGATAGCAATTTTAGAAAGTTTAAAAGCTGGTCAAAAAATCTGAAATGAAAGTCTCACTAAGCTGTTTATGCTGATTTACTCAATAATCTCGCATCAATGATCTTTTCTTCCTTTCTAGCGATCTCAACATGTGTGGAAGTTGTGCCGAGGGCTTCCGCCATGAGAGCTGAAGAGCCTAGTGAAATTCGGAGGTAAGTATCAAAATTTTCCATATGTTTGAAGCTACAGTCAATATTTTATTCTAAATGATTATAGAGCACCCGTCTACAAAGTGAACAACGGTGCCCCTCGCGCAAAAGGCTTCAGAAGAATTTCTACCGGTGTCCGACGTGCACCAAATACTCCCAAACCGCCCAAAAAAGCCATAGCCCAAGCACCCAAAATGCCTCATCCCCTGTCGGCACCAGCAATCCCAATTCCTCACATGGTCCCAATGAGTTTTCCCACTGTTACTTTCCCACCTATGATGTCATTCCCAACTTTGCCTACATTTGCCACCATCGCCATGCCTACCCTGCCTACCATGACTATGCCTCCACCATTTCAACGACTCATGGGAATCACCACTACCCCTTCACCTTCACCCAAGAAGAGCAAAAGCCATAGAAGGGAGGAGGAGTTGACCAGTAGAGATGAAGAAATTCAAGAAAAACCACGAGTGCGACAATATGAAAGTGAAGAAAGGTGAGAATTTGCACTTTTTTCAATAATCTCAATAAGTTATCCATTTTGCTGTTAAGAGTACCTAACGACACTTTATCACCGGTCTCTTCACGCCTTCCCAAATTCGTCAACTCTCGAAAGGAGCCAGTGGTCGCCCCTGAAAAAAATGCTGAATGGATAGTTCCTTTCAGACTGTGATGAACACTGCGAAGATTTGACCTAAGCTTTAGATTGTTGATGGAGATGTACAATAGCTAATAAATAAGAATTTATCTTGATCCACCTTTTATACAAATGATTGGTAAAACTTTTAGAGTGCTCTATACAGTGTTTAGCATTATGGTGTGCTCTGAAGAAATTGCAGTTACTGTTGCTCAAGACCGCAACAATTTCGCTCGAATCCGTATATAATCGATAGAAGATCAATAAAGAAAAAACTCTGGATGTTATATATCGCTTTTAAATATGTCCGCCCTTTCCCATTCCACGAAAAATTTAAGTCATCAGTATACTGGCAGCTCCCGTACTATACGTAGAGGGTGTCTTAAAAAATCTGTACACCGTGATCGCATATGCCTCTTGTTCTAACTTCATTCTGCAGAGTTGGCTTCAGCTTACAACATGTCAAATCCACTGTGTGCAGCGGACTATCGCTCTTTATTACTGTACAAGCTTATAGCATCTCAACCCCATTGTGAACTAGGTCTTCAGAAGTAAAAATCACTAAAGTTCTATAGCAGGATACGCAAGCTATTTCACTGCAAAACTTTATACGCTTTTTAGAGCATTGAATTTTGCAGGTTTAGAAAAACATTTAAAAAAACAGTTGTTGCAATATATCTAGCATAAATATAGAGGAAGCATTAGCGAGGTGCAGACTTCATATCTGCCGAAAAACGCTTAGAATAGTCTGAAAGTTTTTCGGCTGTTTGGTTTTCCTTTCTGAGGCAAATTATCCCAGATCCTTAGTTCCTGCGAATCATCTTCAAGGACTAGCTTGATCGTATTTTCGATCTCGGGAAGAGGACAAACCGAAGAATGTGTGAGACATAGAGTATTGGTCAAGGGTGCCTTGCATTCAGAGCGGAGGTATATGTACTTTTTCACATGACAACAAGCGATCTCTCAGTCTGTCACTGACTGAAATTTTGGGTCGAATGCCGCATAATTTTTCGAAGCATAAAATATGAAAGGTGTGGACTTCACGAAGGTATTTGGATTTCGGCCATGAAGTTGTTTGAATCACATTCGAAACGAAAGATGTCACCTATAGATTTATACAACTAGGACTAAGACGAAGTTTCAAACCATGTTTACAACCAGAAGCAGTGGTTAGGCCAATTTTTGATGTCGCTCGACAACAAGGCAAACAAAAACCTTCCATTTTTACACACACTCCTTTTCATAAGCACACTACTTTCTAGCTGATACTAGATAACTTGTAGTTCTCAAAGGCTACATCTCATCTTCTTAGCCTACATCTCAAAGGCGAACTCGTTACTCATTAAATGAAACAACTCTGGGGGTATGAGCTGATTTCTTTTACTCTCTGAATTAAAAAGCCTCACTTGAGTGCTAGATAATCACTTACCACTTATAATTTCACTCACAACCAAGGCAGTTTTGCTAACAGCAAACCTGGCGCCCATAATTCGCAGGTCAAGGTACAAAGTCCATACCAGACCACATGTTGTGCAAAGCAGTGTCAGCAGCAAGACAATTTTATACTTACTCATTCATTATTCATAGATATTTCTTATTATTACCATATTAATAAATATTTCTCGGAAAACCTTAAAGGATTCCGCAGAAATTAACTACACTATCCACGCTCTAGAAAGGGTGATTCTGCTAAATTTTAGAAAATCATTCTTGTTTGCAGTGTTCTTTGGACAATTCTCATAGCTGGGTCAGAAAAGACTTTCTTCTCAGCGGCAGTACAAGTTTCATGAATATTCTCGCTGTTTTCCGTTCGCGAGAAAAAAAATCGATCTCTACGAGTTGTTTTTCCAGATGATACGCCGAACAACAAGCTCGTTCGCTGCCATTCTCCGAAATGCCCACACTATTCGAGCAATTCCAGTCAGGTGAGAACTTTTCAAAAACTCTAGAGAACAATAGTAAGGGTAAGAAGAAAAAATTTACCTGATTCAAACAACATAATCTAATTATCTGCACATGACGTAATATGATTAGCATACAAAAATTGAAAAGTGGGGGGGGGAAGGATATTCTTGCGGTTGTTCTCCGAATTTTCTAGGAATTTTATTGACTCAACAGTTTTTTTCAAGATATAGTCTTTCAGCATTTATCAAATCACTTTTGTTTTTTAACCCAAGCAAGTTTTATTCTGCCATTTGTCAATTTTCTAGAGTAGTCTGAGGTCAGAATACAAAAATAAAATCACAAAACATCACAAAAATAGTTTAAAAATTGATGTTTTTCATTTGGAGTAGAGATTGCATGTTTCAGCAATTTTACTACACTTGATAATGCCTGTAACTCCTAGAATCATAGAATCATTGTAGCCAAAAGCGTTTTACGCTTAGAACGTAGATCCGTGAAAGCTAATAATAATTTATTGCTCTAATTATCTCGCTTTTAGAGCATTCGCTTCCAATAAAGAGCTGTTTGAGAAAGCGCAAGAAAAGCTGAAGAATCTCACCGAAGACCCCGATGTAGACGTCAAACTTGAGATTTACGCACTTTATAAGCAGGTTCGCCTTAGTTCCTCAGCTCTTGCTTCGACTTATTTGAGCATTTCAGCACTTGTTATAGGCAACCGTTGGAGATGTGCAGGGCGATCGACCAGGAATGATGGATTTTGCTGGCAGGGCAAAGTATGATGCGTGGGCAAAATTCAAGGGCCTGGAACAGGTAGAAAAAATTCGCTTACGGTCCGCGGTCTTTTCGAAAATTCAATGTTTAAGGATGATGCTCTGCTGAAATATGCAAAGCTAATAGATACCTTATCGGATGCCGAGGAAAAGACATCATCCTCTGGTGGTTCCGAAACTATGGGACTAGGGCGAGTTGATGGTCTTGAGGTGCGTAATTCTGTAACCTTTTGTTTGTTAAGATGATCATTTCCTCTTTTTGCAAATTTCATAATTCTGTGATCTTTCGATTTTTTAACATTCGTCTTATACAAAGCCTTCGGATTTCCGAATGTATTGGTAAAATTGTATTTCACTGTATAACACTCCATTCGGTTTCGAATAATCATAATTTATGGCGTTTTCTATTTCATAACTTTTTCTAATAAAAGTAGTGTAATAATGGAGTATTATGACTCCGTAGCCGAAAATTTCTGCGTTACAAACATTTTTTTTTGTAAATTATTCGTTTATGGCTTCCCTATTTAGGTATCTAAAGATGACAAAGCCTACAAAATCACCTTAAATCGACCAAAGAAGTTCAATGCTCTTACTGTGGATATGTACAGAGGCATCATAGCTGCACTTGAAGCGTCAAATAAGGATAAATCCACTTCTGTGACAGTGATAACAGGTGCTTACAGTTGGAAGCAATTTATTTTTTGTTTGATTTTCATCTTTTTTTTTAATTTTTATTATTTTTCTGCTTGTTCTTCTTTATGAAAATCTGCTCTTGATGGAATCACGATAAGTTTGACATCACAACCCGAAATGTTAGACTTCAAACAAGGCAATTTTTTTCTCCTCCCCCCCTATTGTTCTTATTTATTTTTATTCTGCAGCTGTACCTCAGGCTTTGAAACCATATCCCTATCATGAGAGCGAATTTCTCACCAAGTAAGGGAACATTTTTTTACATGCACCTGATTTCAGGGACTGGTGATTTCTTCTGTGCCGGAAATGATCTTGGCAATTTTGCAAAGGCAGCATCGGCCAGCAAAGCTGAAGTGAAGGAAATGGCAGAATCAGCGGCAGCGGTATTGAAACAGTATATTCAGGTGGGAGTGGTTATGCATTTTCTGTTACAAAATGTTATCGGTCCTACCATATTTGGAAGGCTCTATTCAGTCTGTGCTACCTATACCATGCTTTTTCTACGATAATGATATACTGCAAGAATCATAGCTTTTACCATTTGAGTCACTTCCACCCTAATTTGCAAGCTAATTTGATAGTACCCTTGTTAGACGAATATATGGCACTCACACTTCGACAAAAATACTGTAAGAGACATTCCAGAGTAGTATTTTAGAAGGGGCAAGAATGTTTCTCAATGAAGAGTGATAGAGTTTTTGTGAGAAATGCATATACTCTAAAGCAGAGACACTGCTATCCCACAAAGAAGACTGCTAATGTAACATTTTTCGCTTTCGGATCAAGGAGCAGAAATATAGCAAGTTTATTGCACTGCAATAAATTTTGGAGATCACTAGCACAGATCTATTCAACAATTTTGAAAACCCAAGATTACAAAAATTGCACTGTAAACAGTATTGTAGGAGGAATGGGAACTAATTTCTACACCCAAAGATTCCGTGACGAATCCCCTATGTTGTTTTCCAACATGAACGGAGACATAGCGGTCGAAGTCGTTTAGAAAACAAGAAGCAATTGGTTCTGAGTCGAATTCGTTGTCTTGAATATACGCATAATTTAAAAATCTCATCTGTAGCCTAAAATTTTATAGCCTTTTTCCTTTTTAGGCATACATCGATCACGAAAAGCCACTTCTTTGCTTGATCAATGGTCCAGCTATTGGGATCGCTGTGACAGTTCTCCCACTTTTTGACTACGTTTTAGCTACGGACAAGGTGAATCTTTTGCCAGTATTGTTAACAGTTGTTATCACAGAATTTTAGTGCACATTCCATACTCCGTTTGCTACACTAGGGCAGTCACCGGAAGGCGCTTCATCCTACACATTCCCAATTCTCATGGGCCAGCTTAGAGCTTCGGAGGTAAAAATGCGGAACATCTCTTACTCGCATCTGAAATAGAATTTTTTAGGTACTGACGTTGAATAAGAAACTGACAGCACAGCAAGCTTTTGATAGGGGCTTGGTCAATGAGGTGGAGCAATTATTTATTTTTTGCAAAAATAAATACATTTCGCTGACTTTAGATAGTTCCCCACTCGGAATTCGCTAAAAGAGCCGCAGAAGTAGTGAAGCAACATTCGTCTCTTCCACCAGAGAGTTTGCGAATCAACAAGATGTTGCTTCGATCACATCATAAAGATATTCTTACCAAAGTCAACGAGGTAACATGGTATTTTGTTTTTTAAAATTTGTTCAAGACGTCAGAGGGAAAGCTTTATGGTGAGCCATTTTTCAAAACCGATCTTTGGTTTCAGGAAGAGTGCCGAATTATTTGCGAACGGTGGCAGTCGAAGGAATGTGCAACAGCTATTGCACAATTTCTCAGTCGTTCGAAGAACAAGTAATAAGTTAATATCTCTTGATGAATAAACAATATATTGAGGAATTTCTGAATTGAATCCATGAAACGATTGCAAATCCACATGAGCTACAAAATTACGCTTTAATGAAATTGAAAAGTGAGCAAAATGAAGAAACCCGCTCTAAGAATGATCAATTAATACCTGACATATTAGATTGAAGCAGATGAAGATCCTTGCGAAAGTCAAAAAAAAATTGATAATCTTGCAAATCTCAGCCTAATCTTCTTTTTGTTCATGGAAGGCTTGCGCCTCACGATTCTATTAGGTTGTCCTATAAGTCTTCATTTCTAAGTTTTCGCTATAATAAGTCACATACTTCTTATTTTGAATAGACATCAGGGCACCATTCGATAGATCAAATCAAGCTCTATAAGATGGTGTTTATGCTTTTGCACAAGCTTTGGTCGATCTCGAGTTCTAAACCAAAATCTAAAAAGTTTCGGATGCCCAGAAAACCGAAAATTTTTCACATCTTCGTTCAAAAAAATCCTACAGATCTCTAACTCGCTCACGCATATGCATTCCACATCAGACATTCATACGTGCTGTTGCTGTATTTTTCTATCAGCTAGAAATCAAGAAACCGAGAATTTCCATGTTTTTACCAAAGTGATGCTGTGCTGTTCTTACACTAACAGTTGTATGCTACAAGCCCTTAGAAGTACAATCGTAGATTTTTGGCTCTCTATATGCTCTGGTTCGCGAGAAATATCTATTTT